GGATTATAGGTTAAGTAGCTTTTAGGATTCAAACTCCAAAAATTTACTCTTAAGGCCATTTTGTTCCATGGAAGCTGCTTAGGAGCAGCTGTTATGGCAAGAGATAGAGGACCAAAGTGGGGGCTGGAAGAGAGAAGCCTAGAACAGTGTTTCTCCATGCTGATCATAAGGGCTCCCCTAGAGAACTTTATATAATAATGATGCCTGGATTTTAACTTCAGCGATTCTAACTTAATTGGCCTTCAATTGGAGATTTTTTTCGAATAGTTCTGCAAGTGATTATAATAATCAGGATTGAGAACCCCTATATCAGATTAACCTCTTTGGGTGACAGTTATAAACATCCCTGTGACCAGACCTAAAGCCAGAGCATTCTGAGGGACAGGGATCTGGTGGCAGAGTGGCTGAGGCTAGGGTCTGAGGCATGGCCACCTCTAGTTTGACCTTTCCATATTTCTAGCACCCTTACTCTCCTACGTGTCCAGTAATATGGTTTTGTAATTCTGGCCTCAAGATCAAAATTGATTTCTACTTCCAAGGACCCGGAACTCCTCTCATCCAGTTCTAGATAAAAGAAACCCCTTTTCACTGCCACTAGTTTCCCATGTATGTGCCTTTAAGGGAAGTGAGGGATAGGCTGACTGTCAATGCCATGGTAAAATAGCCCCCAACCTGCTTCCTTCTCTCCTAGGAGTTCTGTTTGGCTTCTCAAGTGTCAGAAGTCACACTTCTCAGGAGCCACACTGCTTCTACTGGATCTGAGGCTCTTCCTCCCTGCTGCTTTCCCCATTATTTCTTTGTTGGGCACCTCTCCAGGTTCCTGATATCCCCCCAAATTGAGCAGGACACCCAAGAGTTACAGCAAGATCAATGATTTACTTGAAAGAGAAAAGACAAGATACAATGAACAGGGTGGAAGTGGGCCAATGAAAAGTGCAACAAGGGGGCTTGGTGCAGAGTTAAACTTTAGGTCTGGGGCCAGATTGAAGATTTGGTCCGAGGTCTTACTCCCGCAAATGAGTGACTTGATTCAGCTCGTCTGCTGGGCAGTGAAAGTTTGAACCTTAATGGCCCTCAGAGGAAGTGTCATGGCCTCCAAAGCCAACAGGGGTGGAATCTGCATAGTCAATCACATGGTGATTAAAATTAGAATCAGCCAAGGGTTGCAGAAGACCACGGGGACGTGTCCAGGGACTTGTGTGTGAGCTCTGTTATCTGCTTACCTTTCCCCATTGCATTTGTATGTGGTCATCCTGGTCCTGGCCTAATGTTTAACTCAGAAGGTGGATCTGGTCCCAGAGAGGGGGCTCCCGGGTGGACCCTCCTTTTTCCCCAGCTGTTTCCTTAGTTACTCAGACCATAGGCTCCAAGGCTGACCCTCCCTTCTTTCTTCAACCTTCTACTCAGCTAACTTCTCTGGTGGCATCCTCCTTTCTGGTAGGAAGAGCTATCCTCTGCCTCCTGGTTTGGACAGAACTGGGTTTCTGTATCAAAACCCATGCTGCATTGTCTCTCCAATGGTGGTTACCCTACTAGGACAGGGTTACAAACTTTCATGAGATTTACTTCAGGTTAGTTTTTTTTCTTTCTTCCTCATTTGCTATAGTGTTTAGCACAAGTTCTTTTGAGGCCAGAGAAGACAGTGTGTGAGACAAGACCTGACAGCCTTCCTTTCAGCTATAATGCGTGGACGAAGTGGGAAGTTTCTGTGCCTACACTTTTTCTCCGTGATAAGACATAATCTTTGAGATGACAACAGGGTCATTCTACTCTGTCTGCCCAACATCTCCTCTGGCTTTAATAGATCAGAGACAAATTTCAGTATGTGTGGTGTAAGGACACTGTGTGCTGGAGGTGTATTTCACACTGGGAGGTATGGATATCACAGGTTATGTGTGTTACATTCTCAGGAACAGAGACTGAGAGAAGTTGGTGATAGTGAACCCTAGGAAACTTAACATTTTCATGTAATTCATCAGCTTCAAGTGACATTAATAGTAGCAAGCTCTCTCAAACTAGAGTGTATCCTGGCTGGGCAGGTGGGTTGCAGTTGGGCAGTGAGTGAGTCCCCAAATCCCTTTCTTCAATGTAGGGTTGGAATGAGGCTGAGCTGCTCACATCAATCCTTTCATCTGATATTTCTTTTTTCTACTTAATGGACCCCCATGTTCCTCTGCAATGAAGTAATGAAATCTGCAATCTCAGCAGTCGGAGCTGGAAGACTTTGATACTAACCTTTGGATCCTTGCTTTTATTTACAGCACTTATTCACAGGCACTAAATGTCCCAGAACATACCAGAAACACTGGTTTCCTTTACCAAGATTTTGTTTCAACATTTTCTTGGACTTTGCATGTTTTATTCTATGTTTAAAGTACATGTCTGAATGAAGGAATATGGGATCACTGTTCAGCCTGTTTCACAGAGCATCATTTTATGCGGAAAGCGTTGGATTGTTTCCCAGTTTTCTGATTATACTCAGGTTCCTGAATCAGGCGACAAATGGTGGAGAAGGCATTCATTTCTCTCCCCTACGTTGTTCAGGTGGTCTCTGTTTTATAACAGTGAAGTGCAGTTTCCCTTGAAGGAAGCCTCAGTAGGATTTCCTCAAGTAGACTTCATCCACAACAAAATTAGGGTACATTATTCTTAGTGCCTAGCAGGTCTGTATGACTTCATTTGACATGCGATATTTTCTTCTTTTCCTCTGTTTAATCCATATTTTAGTGAGAGGTTGGTTGAGAGACACTGCGCTGCGAGGTGCTGCCAGCCATCATTTTATTTATTTTTTTTCCAACCATTATTTTAAACCAGAGCTCTTCAAGCCTGTTTATCATCTCTTCTTATTTCAAACCACCTGGCTCAGATGCTTCTTGCTTACTTTCTTCTCTGTACCTCTGACTTTTATATGGTAAAATATTGTAGTTCTTGTGGCTTATGTCAATGGAGATTAGTGATGATTGAAATGCTTCTCTGCTAAGGAAAATGGTAAAGGTGGAATGAGCTCCTCTCAAAATAAGACAAAACAAAGATCCCCTACATCATTCCTCACTAGTAAGTGTCACCTGGGTTAGTTCCCCATCTAGAGAAGCTCTAAGGACTGTCGTGGTATTGGCTGATGACTGGCATCTTCATCTGCCTCCCAAATGTCCTTGGGGAGACGAGTCCTGAGAAGGCAGGCAGCATTCAGGCTTTTTTTCTCATGCTCATATGCTACACATTACTCCCTCAAAAGTAGAGATGCTATTTGTCAACTTGCGTGGTCCCACTGGTGGGAGTGGTGTGAGCTCTCTCCTAATCTCAGAAATTTTGGCAGAGGAAAGCCTGTGTTGAATAAGACTCTGAATCTCTGTCTACTAAGACAGTGGTAAAATCAGCCCAGGTGAAGTGATGTAATGGAATCAGGGTGGGTGTGATTCTTCTATGGAATCAGAGGTTTGTAGGAAAAAGTAGATAGGACGATTGAAGGAGTGCAAGGATGCATGGGGCACCATAAGGGCAAGAATATGGGAAGGGGGATGTGGGGCAGTGAAGATAGGAGGGTTTGCTCTAGCGAGGAAGAGCTTGCAATGATGGAGATGGATGTGGGGACTGGAAAGAGCCTTGGGTTAGAGAGGAGGAAGTGTTAGGCAGAAGGATGAGCCCAGGGAGAAAGTGGCTCTTGAATGGATTGTACGAAAAGCTTCATGAATTATGGGTATTATCACATGTAAGAAACAAGGGGAAAAAGAAAGACATCAATAATTTGAAAAATCAAAGGAAATTTTAATTACGCATTATTGATAAAATGTGGTGAAAATCAGTACTCTTTGCCTCTTGGCACAGTTCCTGTTTGGAAATTGTGAGGCTAACAGAAGTCACTGGAAGAGGGAGTGGGTCTTTGTTGCTACAGGTTGTTCTGCCATAGGTGAGCAGCTGCCTGGCCAGGATATCCACCTTTGAGTACAGTTATTGCTCTAGGAGCACTAGATAACAGACGTGTTATAAAATAAACTCACAGGACATTCAGGATTTCAGTCTTTGTAGTACTCTGGACCAAATGGGGAGCCCTTTCAGATAATTCATGACTGGCTGGTAATTCATTCTCCCACCCCAACCTTATTTCAACAAAAGATCAGACCTAAACTTCCCTCATAGACCATCTCTTTCTCTAGCCCAAAAGTAACCTTCTTAGGACCTGAATTGAATTCTCTGCTCCTCCCCATGGCTTGGGTGGGCTGCCTGTATGGATAGCTTCAATTTTCAGAATTGGGAGCCTACTTACCTTGTGCAGTGAAACATGGATTACATAGATTCCAGATGCCGTCCCCACACAGGCTGTCCTTTCATTATGCTTACCGTCCACGCCTTCCCCCAACCTCTCCAATCTGTAAAACTTAATACACTGCAGGCCATGGAAGAATTGGTATGTGATCCAATTCTGCCTGTGCTTTCTACAACAAAATAAGTCTGGAGAAAGACTCACGGTCATATTTCACAAAAGTCTCTTAATAAATTAATCACAGGCAGCTATGATTCATCATGCTTTTAATTAACAATTAATTATGTACAAGAGAGACAAATATTTTACTGAGACCAAAGAAACAACATGTATCATTTGTAGTGTGGTATTTCCCACTCACCCTGTAGGAAAGGGATTTATGGGCTATAGATTTTGTGAACCAGGCTGCTGGGGAAAGTACAAATCCATCTGGATCCACAATGACAACCTGGGGCTGGGCAGACTTGAGGTCTGGCTCTTGGAGAATTTAGTGCTTAGGCCCCATCTTTTTGACCCTGGAAGGAAGGACCTATGCAGGGCTGTGTGTAATCCTAGCCAAATGCAGTTTCTCTGCCAACACAAAGTTGGGGGAAAGTTCTGGTGTGGTAAGAAGCCAGCTCAGAGGAGCTTCCTGCTGATGGCCAGTCTTTGCTAGGAACAGTCAGCACATGAGAGACAGATGTTCAGCAGACCATGGCCACATTTCTCACCTCAGACTGGATCCATGAAGTTTGATCTTGTCTTGCATGGTCTTTGGGGGAAGATAGGGTTGGGTTCCCAAGCCAGCCACAGAAGTACAGCAGTGAGTCCTGAGCACGGAGAAGTTCCCTTTCTGAGTCATGTCCATCATTTCTCAAACCCATTCCCCCTGTCCCTCTCCCTGACAGAACTCTCTCTTTCCCAGCCTTGAATCACTGACCTAATCCTGGTTCCAGGTCTTGTGCTCTCACACCTTCAGCCAATAAGTGAATCTTTTCTTTGGGGACATGGTAGTATGTTCAGGGAACAATATGAGAGCCAAGGACCCACAGGGAAAGCTGAAGTAGAGATTCCCTTTTCTGTGCTGTGCTCGAATAGTAAACAGTATTGTTCGTTATGTGCTACTGCTGCTGTTAATACAATTAGCAACAGCACTTGTAGAGCTCTTATTTTTGAATGGACATAGGTATGTGTTTTCCATACATTTCTTAATTTAATAAAACAACCCTGCAGGACAGAGGCCAATATTGTCCCCATCCCACAAAAGAGGAAATTAAAGCCAGAGCAATTGAGTGCGCTCAAGTTTACACAGCTATTAAGTGGCTAGGCCAAGATTGAAATCTAGATATAACTATTATGCAATGTGAAGTTTGAAACTGGTAAAAACAGAGAAGAAAGTCTGAAATACAGTACCAAAATGGCAGGAAGAGCTGAAGAAGAAAAGAAAGCAGAAGCAGTAGCTTTTTGTAAGTCCCGATGCAAGTTCCGTCTGCTGGTTTAAAGTGATTTAGTGCATTTTCTTCTATTGCTTAAGCTTCCTTTCAACTGAATAACAACAAGAAAAATGCATAATTTGTACTTGGAAGTAGGAGTGGAGTGTCAGTGGCATGGAGCTAACAGAGCTGGTGTTTGGAGAATGGCAGTGAGAGGTAGTCCTCTACTTCAGGTGGGCAGATCAGCACCCTGTTTCATTCCATAATGCACCAACTGGCCCAAGGGTCTTCTGTTGGTTTTAAAATTTAGACCACTCCTTGTTCAAGGTGATAGTGTTAGGAATCTTAGAAAAAGTAAGGATGGATTTGATCACTTCTCAAAGCCTCCATTAAGGCTATTCCAGTTGTCTACTGACATAAACAAAACAATCCTAACACTCACCAGCTTGAAACACTTACCTGTTATGACTCTTGTTGTGGTCATTCTTACAGAGTGGAGGACTGTCATATTGCTGTGCAGTAGAGGCTGAGTTTCTAGGAAAGAGAGAGCTCAGCTGGGCTGGAAAGTCAGCTCTCCACTGGGCCCAACATTGATGCTATTTGAATTCTGGGGCCTGTGAAGCTGGAGCCAGTATGACCTCTTTGGTAACTTCAAAGCATAGTGGCTGGGCCTGAAGAGGGGATGTCTTGGGCATTCCAAAAGGCCCAGGAGGACGCTGAAAGCCTTCTTATAATTCAGGTTCAGAATCCAAAGTGTCACTTTCACTGATTCCAGGGTGAGAGTAAAGTGGGCAGCCCAGATGCTAGAGGAGCAGACTACACAAGAACTAGAATATCGCAAAGCGGGAATAACAGAGAGAGGAACTTGGAGAGTGGTATTGAAAGGCCCTGTAAGAAGACCAAATTGTTTACTTTGAATTTGGCCCAGGCAAAGCATAGAAGCCATGCACAGGAAGGACCATGGGAGGCTCTTTCCCATGAAGCCAGCAGCATAACAGGAGGAATAAGTTAAACTGCTGCCTGGAGAGTTTGGAAAGGCAGGTGCCTGTGCTACTGACAGTGAGGCTATGGTGCTGGAAAGATGGGGTGGGATGTAAGACCATGTTGATCACCTCATTCACATCCTACATAGACACAACCCTAGCCAGGTTATCCCCAGCTGGCTCTGACTAGGGATTCTGTGTCTGGCACCATGAAGATGCCCTGCAACCTTGCAGCTAGGTGAGGGGCAAAGTGAACTGTCAGCCCTTCCTAGGTTGTGGGTCACACTTCTCTGAGGCAAATGAAGGTGGGCCCTTGGGTGAAAAGGGGCATTGAGCCATCACACACAGAGGCCAATTTCCTCAGGCCCATCTCAGCAGAGAGATGGCACTCGTCAAGATCTCTGAATGATGCAATTACTCCAAGGCCTTATTGAGAGTAGATAGGCCAGAATTCCACTATTCCACAAAGTCCATAAAAGAGCTTTCCAAACAAAACAAAGCAAAATAAAGCAAACAAGCAAAAAACTAGATCAACTAAACTGAATCTGTGATTCTTCATTCCTAGGTATTGGAGAGATATTGTTATTTTAACTTGCATTTCTTTTATTCCTATGGGGTTTAGTATGTTACCATGTGAAGTGATTACTTGGATTTCCTCTTCTACGATTTTCCTTATCTGTTTTATTTTTGCTTCTGTTGAGTAGTTGTCTTTCTATAATAAAGTTACAAAAGGTTTTGTTAACTATTAGCCCTTTACCATATATTTTGTAAATATTTTCTCAAAATCTATCCTTTATCTATTGACTTTACTAATTATGTAATTTTCCATTAAAATATTCAGTCACTGAATTTATCTATTTTTAGAAAACCACAAGGTTCCAATCTTTGCTTTGAAGGGATCAGTAATGTTTCCTGGCTACTGTGCCCTTGGCCTCTAGGGAAACTTAAGAGATTTTTCTTTTTATTTCTTTATTTTTTTTTAAAATCAACTTGGAGTCTTCAGAGTCCAGTTCCACTGCAGGTCCCAGGAGCTGCTCAGAAAATGTGTGTGCAGAAGGAAAGGAAAAAGGTGAAAAAAAAAAAGAATTCTGGCTGGAGCACCACCTGGATCAGTAGAGAAACTGGGAAATAATTATTTGTTGCTTGGGCCTGAGATTTTGTGGCAGCTAAGATCAAAGGGAGCTATCCAAATGATGGGCGTGATGCAAGGCAGGCAGAAGTGTCTCTGTATGCCATCTTGCAAGTGTGGCCCGTCAGGTAAAGAAGCAAATACTTTGGACTAATGTGAAGGGCCTTGACTGAGAGGATCCCGGTGTCACTGGACTTCCTCTTTGTTCCTCCTCTTAGCTTCTGTTTCACTTCACCCTTCTCTCTCCTTTCTCTTTCTCCTTCTCTCATTTTTCTGTTGTTCTTGTTTCTTCTTCTTGTTATGTCCTACCTCCATGGCCTCGTGGCCCTGGATTCAGGGATGCTCTCAGGACCAGGCCAGCTCTGAGACTGCTGCAGAACAGAGCTCAGCACCTTTTGTTTGGCTCCCCAAGTCCTTGGTTCCTTCTTGTGCAGGCTCCTTTCTCTTAGCAGGTTTGGAAACAATGAGTTAATGGTTCATACTCACATCCTTTTCCTCTGAGGCAAACAGTCCTTCCATGAAGAGTCAGAACTTCTCTAGAGAGCAAGAATCTGATACCACCTCTCCTTAACCCCAGAGACAAACACAGACCCAAAAATGCATATAGAGGCACACAGAAAATTGCAGCACAACTTTGACCTGAGGCGCTTAGAAAGCATAGTTGTGTTTAGGGCAATGATCTGGAGGTGAAATGATCTGTATCTCTTAATAACCAAGTATATTTCCCTAAGGTACATAAAGTTAATCATTACCTAGCATGAGAAAATTTAGAAACACGTTTGTTTTTGTCCTCAGTTACTAAAATAGAGCTTCTAAATTCCTTATAAATAGGGGAACTAAGAAATCTTTCTAATATTTGGTTTTTAATCTCAATTCCTGACCAAGAGCTGCCAAGACCTGCCTAATTTCCTGAATATTAGGATTCTCTGATACAGGCCTCCTAAAGCCTCTGGATTTTCCCAGATGATAGGAACAACTCTTTTTACTGATGAAACCACTCTTGGTGGACTCCTGGAAAGGCTGAGGGTAGGGATAGTTGCCAGGGTATCAAACCATGTGATTAGAGGATAAACCTTTAAACCCCACCCGCCAATCACCAGGGAGGAAAGGGACTAAAGACTGAGTTGATGACCAATTATCAGTGATGCAATCAGTGACACATATGTAATGAAGCCTCCAAAAAATTGCAAAGAACAGGCTTATAGATCTTCCAGATGGCTGAACAAGTGGAGTTGCCTGGAGGTGGCACATCCATTTGGAGAGGGCAATGACATGGTGATCTCTTCCCAAACATCCAGCACTCTGTGAGTCATCTATCTGGTCATTGATCTGTAGCTTTTGCAGAATATTTTATAACAAATGGATGACCATACACAAAGGCTTTCCTTGAGTTTCCCTGAACTTCTCTATAAAATTAGTCACACTTGAGGAGGAGTAGGAGGCATGGAAAACCCACTTATAACCAGGTAGTTAAAAGTGCTGCAGGGCCCAGGGATTTAGCTCAGTGGTTCTGCTGCCTGCTTTGTAAGCACAAGGCCCCAAGTTTCACCCTTGGTACTAAAGGGGTGGGGGTGGGGCTAGAGGCCCAAACTTGTTACTGACATGTCCAGTGGGTACAGTCTTGTGGGACTGAACCCCTAATATAATGGATCTTAGACTATCTCCAGGTAGATAGTGTTGGAGTTGAATTGAATAATACCCACCTTGCATCTGAGTGGAGAATTCCTTTGTGTGTGGGGAAAAACCTGAATGCATTTTGATGACCAGAGATAAAATATTCTGAGTTGAGTATGGTGTGGTTTGTGAGAGTAGCCAAATCTTTTTGGTTTTTTTTCTTCCCTTTTACATTGTGACCATGTAAGAAAATTGTTAGCCAGACTATCAATTAGTTTACTTTACTAATTACTGTCTTAGTTATTTTTCTCATCACTGAGACAAAATGTCTAACACCCAAAGTTAAAGGATGAAATATTTATTAGGCTCACAGTTTGCACAAGTTTCAGTCCATAATTGGCTTGCTCCAAGGAAGGGTGGCATTGCAGAGGAGAAACAGTTCACGGTGGACAGAAGGTATTAAAGCAACAAAGGACAAGTGAAGCCTATTTCTGCTGCATGTATTGTATCTAGGGTACTGGGACTGGGGTGGTGCCAAAACAATCAGTGGACAGATTTAGAAATCACCCACCTTTAATCTTAGCACCCTTAATCTTAGCACTACACCATGAATCAATTACACATTTTAGAATCAGCTACATCTGAAAAGTCCCACTTACAGTGACATGAAGCTTTGGGGGATGTCTAAACAAAAACTCTTATTTTGATTGTTGAAGAACATAAGACTAGGTTTAAAATCTAGTGTGAGAAGAAGATGTGTTCACAGTGAAAAATACCTCAAAATAGACTACTAATACACAAATATAAGCATTAAGAATTATAAGAACAGAAGCAAAGAGAGATTGATAAAAACTAAGGAAATAGTACTATAGGCAATAATAATAGCAAAATTACAAAGATTCAGTATTTGTTGAGTGATTGTCACATACTACTATGCTAAGCATGTTAAATTCATTCTCAGTTTTTACAACTTATATGACTTGAGTGCTTTTATGTTTTCTATGTCATACAGATAAGCAAAACAAAACCAAACCACCCAGAGGTAAAGTGAGTTGCTTAATCCAAATAGGAACAATAGGCCCAAGAAGGGGTACCAACCCAAACACAGCTTACAACAGACCATGGACTCTGGAACTCCTTTGAATAGAGCAGTGACATGTGAACTGCTCATTAAAGAAAAGAGTCTGTTGAGAAACAGAGGATCAACATCAGCGGGGAAAGGAGGATGGGAGGAGGATGGTAAATGCAGAATGCCTTGTGCTGTTCCAGCCTCTAAACCCTAATAATGCTGAAGCTACCAGAAGTGGGCAGTTGGTTCTGGCCTAGGAAAAGGAAAATAAATCAGTGGAATGGAAGAGACACCAGAGACTCCTTGGGTTGCTAATATGCAAAAGGATAGCACTAAAAATCAGTGGCTGTGGGTGGGGAGGGAGGAGGGGGAAAGGGGATGAAAAAAAGAATTAAGATGTGTTATGTGCACAGGCCCATGACACACAAGGAGTGTAAACATTATGTACTGCAAACATGTACTAATAAAAAGTAGAAAATACAAAATAAAATAAAATCAGTGGTAAATGATTCTATATTCCAAGATAAATGTCTTTAAACAATATTAAAGAGCCAAAATTAAGGTATAGATAAACTTTATGGATTATTTAATTGTATTAAATGAAAAACATCCTACACAAAATTCTGTAAGGAATAATAAAAACTGAAAGTGGTTTAATAGTTTGGTGGTAGGTAAGGTATTCTTAATTTAAATACAGAATGTGATAGCTGTAAGGTAGAATATCTACAGATTTGACAGTATATCATTTGAGTCCTTAAAGAGCAAAAATTACCAGATGGATAGGTAAATATTTTAAAGACAGTGCTTGCCACCAAATACTAAGCATATTGTTGATATCCCTAATAAGTGATATGTCCTTATATATGGTCCAAAGTAGACATAACCATTATAAAAGATGAACAAGTAAACAAGCAAAAGAAATGTAAGTGGAGCCAGAGGCCCACCATACCATCAGTAAGATATCCCAGGGAGCAGCTGTGTGGACCAGAGTGGCATGGCTGCAGGTGGATCCCAGCCAGGAACCCAACCCAACCCCTGCGGCACCAGCACACCTGCCCAAGCCAAGGGCCTGCCCAGAAAAGAGCTGCACAGGCACATAAACTTCAGCCAGATGCCCACCTTACCATTGGCAAAAGCCAAGGACCCACCTGGAAAAGAACTACACAGGTGCAGAAGCAACAGCCAGAAACTCACCCTGATACCACTGAGAAGGGCAAGGATACCCTAGCCAGAAGCCTGAGCAGACAACAGGAACTGGGGTACACAGCCCACAGCCAAAGGCCCTCCCAGACAACCGCTACATATGGGCCCCAGCAAGAGACACGCCTAGATACCATCCAAAGTGTGCACATGCACCAGCCAGTAGCCCACTCAGGTCAGCTCAGGGATCCCAAAGGTGACAATTCAGAACCCAGGAACTGGTGTACTGCTAAGGAGCAGAGTAAAAGCTGCTCAGGGGCTTGCTGAGAATCGAAGACAAGTGAGTGAGCAAAAAGTTGCCTCAACAAAGGTACAGCAGGCTGCATCTGTTGAAATGAGAAGACACGTAAACAAATCTCAAAACCAGATTTCAGATCATCTAAGGCAACCCCAAAGGGCAACAAGATGGAACAATTTGATACTCAAACACCTGGACTCCCTGAACTGGCAACCAAAAAGGACCTGGAAAAAAGTGAAATCAGAAATAATTTCTCAGATAACAGCAGAGATTGTGATCATAGTATAAGACATGCTTAATAAATCTAGAGTGGACACACAAAAAACAGAGGAACTGAGGAACATGATGGTATCCCAACATAGGAAACAAATATAATCCATAAAACAGATGCAAACACATTTCCAGGAGATTAAAAACTTCACTGAAAGTTTATGTAGCAGAATGAGC